TTAACAGTGTGACCATTGAGGGTCCATGCTTGCATCTATATACAATTTATACAGAAATACAATTAACATTATGATTGTGAATATTGTTCAAGAAATCTCTCTCTCTTTATTTCCATATAAATATACAAGATTATAGCCAGAGCTGTTTTCTATTTTTCAGCCACTTAGACTCACTAGTGAAATGTGCACGCAATTTCTAAGTTTGGAACTTATTGTCCCTGAGTTCAAGATGACCAAACTACATACATGTTAGGCAATATAAAGCTGTGTAAATGTGCAATTCCTGACAAACCACAAGATGATAGATGATAAATCCAGCGACTGTCAAATCCCTTCTACTCTACTCTACTCTCTTCTAGTAAAAAATATACTTGACATACTACTTAAGAATACAAAGATGCACTTGAAGCAGTGGACATACCAATATGACCTCCGTGTGCTAGTGCAGTACCTCAGCTTACCAACAGGAACGCATTACCAAAACCTTTTAAATATCCATCTAACTGTCACGTAATTTCAGTAAATACTAAGTCAATTAAATGTTATTCACCAGAGTCACTCCTACTGATCACAGTGTTCGTCATAAAAAAGTGATTAAGAAAGCAGACTGTATTAGAGATGCCTGTAAAAGAGCAACTCTATAAAGGTAGGGTAGGCAACATGAACGCTTATTAGCATATTTAATAAGCTGAAATCTTCTCCTTTCAGTAAAGTTCAGTTACTCTGTTTTTCAAATACCGAAATAAATCAATAAATCTAGCAAAGTACACAATATAAACTAAAACACACTGAGGAGTTTCTCCAGTATTTGTTTCCAGTTGTGATTGGTTGTTGTGCCAGATGAAAAGTGGTACAGTCTTGGCCTTATCTGGTTGAGAGATTGCAGAGAGACACAAAAACAGAATGAGAATTTGCAAAAAAAAAAAAAAAGTCAAAGAGAGAAAAGATGGGAGTGGGAGGAGTTAGAGAAACCCTCTGCAGCTTTATGTAGTTCATGTTATTGTAACCCACATTCAGTGTTGAAATCTGGCCACCATGTGGACCCTCTAAAGGGGTGTTGCTTCACTGTAGGCCTGGCCAATGAGAGGAGAAAGTGGCAGACCAGGGGGCGGGCCTGTGGGGAGGGTCTGTGAGGCAGTGCCTGAAAGAAGCATTAGTGATTTTGGGAGCAGTGGAGCAGAGTCGGAACAGACAAGACACATCTCCAAGAGAGCTGGACTATCCTCTGGCCAATGGAGACAGGTTGGACCGGCGTCTCATTCCTATCACTTGCCTTGATTTCTTCTAACTGACTGCAACACTGTTTTATGACGCGTTGTTGAAGTCGAGCATTATCAGCTGTGTTCTTGACTGGGGTAATGTTATAAAAATGTACCTCTGTGTAGTGCTGCAGATGTGTGTGAGAAGACAGGTTTTTTTGATGGAGAAAATCTGATCGCCAACTCTTTTGTTATTAATGACCATTTTTGGCAAAGTCTACAATTTTCCTAAGGTAAGGACAAAATGGGTAAATAATCTTAGACCAAAGACATTGGGTATGAGACCAAAAAAGGTTCAATATCTTCAGCTTGAGGTGATTCATTTGTCATTGACTTCTGGTTCTACTGTAGTTTTTCCCCCCCTGTCATATGGTTTACTTTGATGTGAGAGAAGTCCAGGAAAGTGATGGTGAACTGCTGTTTGAGGTTCTTTGTGACTGACAATTTCCTGTATTTTCTCTTCAAAGCGCTGAACCTTCTAATTCAAATAAATCCTCACTTTAGTCAGTTACTACTGTTGGGACATCAAGGATCAGAACAGCATCCTGAAACAGACCGTCACTGATTTTGTTTAACTGTAAGGCAGATTCTGATTGCTGTTGATACTGTGGTGAAGAGTACACGTTGGACTTACTCACCGTGTTTTCCTCACAGTGTCGGCTTCTCTTAAATCCCTTGAACAAAGTCTCTATGGTGACATGTAGCTCCCCTCATGGCATGTCTATAGATATGTAGATTGTTTCCTGTCAGCAGCAGCGTGGAAAGGCACTTCCTGCTGTTTTGTTGCTGTGATAACAGAGGGGCTGATTGGAAGCTTTAAACAGAAGGTGTACGCTGCAGCTGGCTGACAGTTAAATTAGCCTATTGGTGGTTTATACGACCATATCTTAATGAAGGTGTGACATTGATTACACTGGAAAATATATCCGATGTTCCATTTTGTTTTGACTGCAATTACGAGTGATGTCCTGAATTTTGTTAGTAGTAATGCTTTCCAGATGACAGATTGTCATCAGACTGCTTGTTCAGAGTAAATCATAAAGTTCTAATCCAGTTTTGGTCAGAAATTGCATGGGTGGTTATTGTGATCTAGTCTTCATTTCAGGGACAGATTTTGTAATTGTTTCTAAACTAATTTTTAATGATGTTTTCATATAAAAAGTCTAATCCTAATCTACCTTTTGTTGAACATCCTGTTAAAGAAACTACCTTTGGTAATCCACTCATTTTTCTAATTGCACCATTAGGGTGGGGCATGTGTGTGGTGGCAGGGGATCCAGTATGTGTGTGTGTAGACACAGGAGATTAGAGTTAAAAGGCGCAGGGGGGGGGGTGGATGCAAACTGAAGGCCGTAAACTCTGATGTGTATGTAAACTGAGACTCAAATAATCCTCAGACCCCCCAACCCTGCCCCTTATCCCCCCGCACCCTCCTCCTGGTTACTCTGGGAGCATAACGAAGGCCTTAAATCTATCGCAGGCTTCACACTTTCAGATGGCATGCTTAACTCTGTCTTGGGAAGCTGTCTTCTTTGTTCATGGTAACGGATCGAATGTGTTCATCTGAGAACAGCGTGCAGACGTCTGGACATTTGTTGTGACGAATACCAGGTACAATCGTAGAAGCAGACGTGTCCAGACGTGTTTAAGATCTCATGACACACATTTAAAACTGGAAGACACACTGTGATGAACTGTGCAACCAACTGGCACGTGATGCGAACAGACTGGAGCGAAGCAAGGTGAAAGGTTAAGTATGGAGGCCTTCAAAGCTCCACACCACCCCATGTGGTTTGAATTGTCTGAGCCGCAACAATATTCCTGTCAGTGAGGAATTAGTCTTTCCAAACGTGCCAGCAAATGTTTGACCTTAAAACTTTGGACTGCCCATGCTTCGTGCCTGCAAAGCCGTTTGTCTTAAACCCTAACGTCAAACATCAGTCTTGTCAAGGGACCTCAGGGACCCCCCCGCCCCACCCCCCCAACATCAACGGTCTTTGTGTGAGAGGAATGGAAAAGCTCACAGTCTGTAAATGTGTGTCTGCATCTGCTCCTGCATCTGTTCATGGTGAGGCAATGAAACGGCCCGTGATTCATAAAATTAATTTTGGTCCAAATCTAGAGAGGCGGCTGCCCAGGACTGTTCTGATGATCTCATCATAGCTACAACGGTCCAAACATCCTCTCACATACGCAACCACCCTGTAGGAGACCACATGGTCTTGGTCAGTTTCTCCATTGGAAAAGATGAAGAGGGGGTGTGAGAAGGAGAACAGTTGTTGATATCTCAGTGGGATGACAAAGATCAAAGTTTGTGTAATGCTCTTACTCATAAACTGAGCCTCACTGGCTGGAATCTGACCACAAAGGACGATGGTGGCTCCCACCCATTGCTGTAAGAGAGCACTGGAGCTGATGCTGTGTAGACGGCACACGTGTCAACAATGGCCTCCTCGCCGCTTCTGCTGCAACCCTGAAGACTAGTCAGAGAATGAACTGCAGACACCCTGGAGACAGTACGGAAACCAGTGCAGAAAAAAAGGCACAGAGAAAAGAAACAACTGTCAGCTTTGGTCCTCAGCTGTATTTAAAACCTGCATGCGTTTTTTGTTTTTTTTGCAGGTTTTCAGAATTCTTCCAGTAGACATGCTCTTGAGAGCCACTTGAGGTGCTGTACATTCAAATGCATTTTGCCTGTATTACTCTTTTTTTGTTTTGTTTTTCTGTAACTTGTCCTGCCAGCTTACAAAGAAAACGTCTCAGTGCATCCAGTTGAGGACAAACTATGCTGTGTCTCGTGCCTCTGTTTGCTTGACTGTGAGCAAAAGCATGATCTAGAACCGGCTCGTTCAAATATCGGCCTGTGGGCCACATGTGGCTCAGGCCCAACCTCAGAGTGACCTAGTCTGTGGTCATTTAAGATATACTGAGAGGAGCTGAGAGGAGTCATATATATCTGCTGATATTTACTGCTATTTCCAAAAGGGTAGCAGTTTCTGTGATCTGTATTACAGGATGACATGAGGATATATCTATATCTATATATTTATGTATATATTCATCTCATCAGCTGTGCTGTACTGTCTTTGGTTTTCATGTGGACAGAAAATGCCATTAAAGATGTCTACATTATTAAAGCCTAGTTTTTATAACTCCCTTTGTTTGTAGTGTCAGAAAATAATAAAACACCATTTCCTCCATGTGGTGTCACAGAAGGAAAGAGTTATCAGTAGTGATGTCACTCTGGCGGACCTTGTGTTATCAACCGTTGGCTGACCCCAGGTCAGCTGTGTGGGCTGCTTGATGAGACGCCTCCAGCTTGTTTTTCCCTCTGTCTGTATCCATTTTCTCCCTCTGCTCTTCCCACATAGATTTTACACTTGTGTGAACACACACACACACACACACGTGTAAACATTGTGTTAATTTATGTCTTATTCTTGTGCAAAACTTAATAAATGAAGAAGTATTGGGAAATTCTTGAACCATGTGGCCTGTTTACAGTTTCTTGAAACATAAACACAGTGAAAAGTGAAGAGGCCCACTTCAAAGGAACACGTTCTCAAACAACTCATTAGCTGTCACCCCCCCCTCCCAGTTTCTCTTCCTCCTACACACAGTTTTCCACAGTGCTGTATAGGAAAGAAATCCTGTTGGGACTTTGTCTGTGGATGCTGTTACTTTTTACAAGTGACATTAAAGCTAATGCAGTTCTGATTCTGACTCTGTTCTATCTCCTAGGTGTGTCTGATGTGACGCCAGCAGGCTGGCTCAGGGAGCGGAACTCCAGTATAATGTAGACGTCAAAAAGAAACAAGAATAAGAGTTAGAACAGCAGAGTGACAGGAGGAAGTTGACCTCAGGGAGAAGGCGGAACAGCTGTGACGAAAGACGCCGAACACAAGATAAGGAGCAAGAGAACCTGAGAGGAGCTGGAAGCAGCGCACACTGTGAATCATTGACGTGAACCTTCTGTGAACAGCAGTGTCACCTCCTCTTCCCTGTGAAGTGATCGCTCACACTTGACAGCAGCGGGATCGCAACCTCAGCTCTTGGTCCTGTGGCAGCGCCCCGACCCAAGCCCGTTCCTCAGCCAATCAGATCGAGGAGAAACCCCACTGACCGTCAGCATGTGCCATGTGATTGTCACCTGCCGCTCCATGCTGTGGACTCTGCTCAGTATCCTCGCTGCATTTGGAGAACTCATCGCCTTCATGAGCACCGACTGGCTGGTGGGATTCCCCCGTACTCCAGATGCCGTCTTTGGCCCCCATGGGGCCACCACAGCGGGAGAGGCCTATAGGCCCACTTTAGGAATCTACGGCCGCTGTATAAAACTGCCCCACCTGCAGCGAGGAATCCTGTGTGGGCCATACGCCGTGCACTTCGGGGAGATTGCCAGCGGGTTCTGGCAGGCCACCTCCATCTTCCTGGCTGCAGGGATCCTGTTGTTGTGCGCAGTGGCTTTCATCTCAGTTTTTACCATGTGCTTCCAAAGCATCATGAAGAAGAGCATCTTCAATGTGTGCGGACTGCTGCAAGGGATCGCAGGTGAGGAATAGAATTCATCTTCACAGTAGTCTGTGAGTCTGCTCTGTGGACAGTCATCTGCTCATTTAAGATCTTTAAGATCTCACTTTGAAAAAAAAAGGTAACGTCCAAACTTCAGGAAGGCAAATAGCTGCTAAAGACTACTGAGGTCCTCTAATTTAGGTTGAATTGTTCATATTCAGCAAAAGCAGATCAGGATTATACTGCTCTTATGTTCACACAGAGGATGGTGAAAGACCATTCATCCTCTTCTGGGTTCTTTACTGTACTTTGATGTGGCTCTTTAGTTCAAGGTTTGTTACTTCTGTCAGTGATTAGGTGGCGTTGACGGCCTAAGGTGTCGTCTCTTTTTTTTTTTTTTTTTTTTAGATATAACCAAACCTTAACTGCAGCCTTGAGCAACTGCTGTTGTTTGTGGGAAGAATGTTGCTGAGTTGTCATGAAGAACAAAGGATCCCCACATCTAATTCAGGACATTTAACGCTCATTGTTTCTATTTCTTTTTCTCTGCGGTATCCTCCGTTTATCAAGGTAAACGGAACAGTTTTGCTTTCAGCTGAACACATTTATTACCAGCGCCACAACTCCCACAGACTGCATTGTGTTTTTTTTCTTTCACTGCAGCCTTGAGTGAACTATAAACAAAGCAGTTTGAGCTTCAGAAAACACTGTTGCATGGTCACTGCTGTCACACCTCAGTGCTGCAGCAACCAAAATATTTACTCTCCTCTGTTTTAGTCATTTTAAGATTTTCTCAAACCTAATCGCTCCAAAAATAAAATTAGTCAAGCAGGCACCCTTATCTGAGTTCATGTGTGTGTAGGGTGTGTATGCTGTTACTATGGTTATGTGTCTGAGTCTAAACCTTGGTTCGCTCTGACTCACGCTGGTGAATTATGGAAGGCAGGAGGCCATGACACCAGAATTACAGAAACTCCTCTTTTATTTCTCCACAGACTGCAGCTTTCAGCTCTGTATCTGGTGATTATGGTTCTCCTCCATCACAGATGTTTATTTGGTGCGGCAGAAAACAGAAAAAAAAAGATGGGCGTGTAGTGAGGGACACGCTGGACTGTACATGAAGCTCCTTCAACATGGCTTGATGCCATTTAGGCAGAGGATGATAAATGATGGATACACTGTACAGACCCACGTGACGTGTGGGGTCAAGATTTACTGGTGATTTCAAGTTTTTTGCTGTTTATAACTGGAGACCTCTCCAGTTAAATCTGCGAGCTGGTTAAAGAGTGTTGCGTTAAGGAATTGTTTTTCGTGTGATGTAAATTGAATCTGCCACATCAGCCCACATGCTACTTTTCATATTGCTTGTTTTATTCAGAGTCTGCTTTTCATATTTGTGCCCAAAAACAAGAAATATGACTCGGGTTTCAACTTTTCTCAAAGCGCCCGAGCTTTTACATACAGGAAACAAGAAAAAGAAAGATTCAAAAATGATAAATAGAGGAAATAGCTTTACAGGACGATTCCTTTTGCATGGATACATTGTGAAGTTTTTCCAGTGAGGTCACATGTCTGTTAGGTCGTAAGTGTCAGTCCTTCTCATACTTGTGACACCAGAGCGCTCACAATCTGGTAATAAAAACGAACAGTTTATAGGAGATGAGACAAACACTGAAATTATATCAGTAAATGATTTTATATTCTCTTTTATTAATTAAAAAAATTATATTTAAGATGACCTAAATGCCACCTGGTGGACAGTAAATACAGTGCAGACTCTACTGAGTTTGGATCAGCGTTTTGTCATAAAAACAAAATAGGAAAGGACAAACAGGCAGGTGTTCTATAGAGTCATGGTCCATTATTTACCATCATCAGAGACATGGTGTCTGAGGTAGTAAATGTGAGGAAACGCATTGTAGGGAGGATGTGAAAAAAGGAAGAGGAAAGGGGGCGAGAAGAGCATCAAACGGCTCAGGAGGTGGGAGAATTTCCTTCTGGAGTTGGAGGCTGGTGACCTTTAGACCACAGGCACGGATCAGATGGGTCAGTGTGTGACATCCAGTTGAATGTTGTTTGTGAATATCACTCTCACTGATGTCCTCCTCCTCCTCCACCACCACTGTCCTTCTGCTAATCATTATTTCCACAGCGAGTGCTGAGCTTCCGGTGATGGGAAACCTGGAGCCGGACTGCAGATGTTTAGGGAAGTGATTGACTTTGTCTGAGAAGAACGTTACAAAGCCTGTGCCAAGAATATTCCGGTCATTTACATGGAGTTCCTCCAAACGTGGCCTGACTTAATCTCCACACACACTGATGTCATGTTTACTATCAGACTCTTCTGCTCCCTCTGAACACAGTTGCTGATAGCAGCAGCAGTTTTGGGTGCTTTTCCAGATTTCAGCTAAAGGTTAATCCATTCCCTGCCCCTTACGTAATCAAATGGCTAAAACAGACGTCTCCACCGATCCTGAGTCTGGTAAACATCGTATCCTGTTGGCAAATAGTGAAAGGCTTCTAAAAGCGTCTTACTTTCTTCTTAGACTACCTAAAAAAGGAATTCTCTGAACATTTTCTCTCGTTCTCAGTCAAGTAGAACAACATTGTGGAAAACAAACCTGGCTGTAAAACTGTCTGCAGTTGGTGTGCGTTGGCCGTCAAACAAATTTATTACCTGCTGTAAACGTTACCCTGCAACCCTGAGTCACCGACCGCGTCACGGGATTAACCACTCGCTGTGAGTTTGAGACCCCGACTGGAAGTGAGGGCAGGACAAAAACAATACCTTTACAGGAATAGACAGTGAGCAGAACTGCATGACAAACTCAAACCCTCCAGTAACACAACTGAAGAGTCGGCAGCTCGTACTGATATTCACTCAACCGGAGTTACTGAAGAGTCGGCAGCTTGTACTGATATTCACTCAACCGGAGTTACTTATTGACTTACTGGAAATTTGGCTTTTCCGCTGGGTGTGACTGGTCCACTAACAAATAGAAAGCAGTGGAAATCCTTTTTCTTTTCTTTTTTTGCCACAGTCTTTAGCACATCTGCTAATGCAGCTTTTTACGTCTGACTTATGGTCACAGTTGTTTGTTATTAGACTTTAAGGCTGTTATTTAAGGTTGTTTGCTGTCATTAGTGGTGTGTGTCATGGTGAAATTGTTAATTCTTAAAGAGTGGAATTACACAGGGCCTCAGGATGGAGGAGTGGTTACCAGTGGTGCCTCACTGCAAAAAGGTCATAGTTAGGATTCTGCTGTGGCTGATGGCTTTTCTAAAGGTTCCTATTGGCCCTCTTGTGTGCCGGTGGCCAATAATTAGTTGTTCCAACTTTCTATCATTTCTGCTCAATTTTCACATTTTTTATAAAAACATTTAGATAAGTATTTGGCTCTTTTTGTGTTTTTAGGGCTACGATTTAGCTTTCATGATCAGTTGACACATTATCCTCCTACAGAATAAGAAGAGGAATCACTCCCTGCTCCTCTACTCATCAGAGGTTGCTACAGGAGTAGTAGAAGTCTGCATGGACATTTGTAAAGGTTTTTCCTCATGCAGCCTGGGAATCGAGGTGTAGCCGGTTTCAAACTTTAAACTTTCTTCCAGGGTTAGTTTGGCAGATATACGCTGCACCACTCTAGTCTCAACACTTTAAGCTCCAAATATACTGTTTTGAAAGTCTGACTAAAGACACAAAAACACCATTAAAAAACTAGATACACCAATAGTTTAGAATTTAAAGCTTAAAAATGTCAAGAATTTAAAGGCAGGCTCACAAAATTAAATTCACGGTTTTGTCCAAGGACCAGCAGACTGAGGATTAGATTAACAACCACAGGGTGAAAAAGTGACCAACAGTAAGTGAGGTTGTACACCTTAGCTGGATTTTTGAAATATTCTTCTCCTTATATTAGTCTCCATCTGAAACAGTTTTTTGTGTCAGACTCAGGGACTTCTTTGGCATACGAGGGGTAAAAACAGGGACTGATCCTTAAGGGATTCAGACCTGTTGTCAAACAGTCAGTCAGACTTCACCGTCCCTGAAGGAAGGGTGTGGTGATCACTGGTTCAGGGTTATCCACGTTAGGAATTTACAAACTAATTTTTTGGAGCATTACCTTTTGGTCAGAACATTTGTTCAAGTTTTAATCCACGGTGATCAGTTCGGAGCCAGGAGTTGATCACAACTTGCAGTGATACTTGTAACCTACAAAGGCAAAGAGATCTATTTTCTCTCTCTCTCGTCCTTCGTGTGTGTTTCAGACATGGCTCATCTTCTGATTTTTCCTGGAAAGAAGAAGGCAGGCCAGATTCCTTGGAACAAAGTGAACTGTAGACTTCCTGTGCTGTGATTGAAAGTGGGGGCCATAGGAGGGTCTCTGAGGGTCTCTGTGTCTGTCTGGTCGAAGGCAGTGATCAGTGATAGATTGATGCAGAAGAATTGACAGTTAGAAAGTAAAGTGAGATGAGTGCCGTCGCCGAGGGAATGGTGAGGTTGAAAGGGTGGAGTGGAGCGGGTTATTAGGTTAGAGTGTCTCAGCTCTCGGCCAAATAGCTTGTGCATGTGTTTGTGCGTGCTGGTGTGTATGTGCGTGTGTATGCGGGGGTCCTAGCAGGGGTTGGGAGGGGAATTAAAACCATACTTTCAGTCCATCACTGAAGCTAGTCTGGACGTCAGGGCAGTGCAGCAACATGTGGAAAGAATTTATGACCTAGTTTTCATTTCCTTGTTTAATACGATATTGGGTGGTTCAGGAGCGAGAGACTGGGAGGAGAGAGAGAGAGGAAAGAGGCAGAGAGGGAGAGCAGATTAGGAACAAATGAAAGGACAGTGTTTCACCTCCTCACTTCCTTTCTGTGAGCAGACCAGTTGGACGAGGGACAGCCAGTCTGATTCATTTATAACCTGTGATGTTATTATTGTAAATGTTTTTGCTGAATTCCGGGTTGATCACATTTCCGTCTTCTGAGGAACTTACTCATCCACAGAAACAAGTAGTATATTTACTCATTCACCCTTTATCGGGGAAGGATGGAGTTCCCAGGGCCACATACAGACACAAACATTCACCATTAACGCTCACATTCACAGTCAATTTAAAGTGAACGATTACCTTAGGCTCGTATGTTTTTGGACTGTTGGTGAAAACCCCTTGTGGAGAACATGTTTACCACATACAAAACAAAAAGCGTCAAACCATTGACTTTCTTGCTGTAAGGTATTAGCACCGACCATCATTCCACCGGGTGACACACTAATGTAAAATAAAATTACTGTATTTTACGGACTATAAATCGTATAAGTCACACCAGCCAAAAAAATGCATAATGAAGAAGAAAAACATATATAAGTCGCACCAGTGCCCTCTAGCGGCTTTCAGTGTGAACATAACTGACATGTACATTTTTAGTGGTACAGTAGTAGCAGATTCTGGTACACAAGCATAGAGTGCCCTCTAGCGGCTATCAGTGTGAAAACATTTCTTTTCCAGTGTGAAATTATATATTTTAATGTATAAGTCGCAGCTGAGAACAAGTCACAAACCCAGCCAAAGGAGGAAAAAAAGTTCGACTCTTTGACTTTTTTTCAGTAATAAAATGTAATGGGAAGGTGAGGCCGACACAGTGAGAACTGTAAGTCTGTATTCCACTCTGGGATGTGCTCAGCTCCCATCATGGGTTTGTACTGGTGAACCAGTCAAGTGTTTTTCCAGTGCTCTTGCCCACTGCGAGTTTCAAGATGACTCGGGTAACAGTTGCAGAACCATCATTATTTTTAATCACTTGTGTCAAGTCAGCATGACAGTAAAAGTAGGTTATTGTTCTCAGGAAGTGCCCCCCCATTCATCAGCCAGAGACGGCAGGGATTGGAAAAAAAAAAAAAAAAAAAAAAACAACCTTTGCTGACCTTTTCCTGTTGTTCTCCTCTTCTCCCCTCTGGGCTCTGACCTGACAGGATCATGTGCTAAGATTGGGATCCTCAGCTGCTGAATTGATGATTTTGCTTTGATGATCTATGAACACATTTCAGACGGTCGTCAGGAAATCGTTGTGTGTGGCGTAAAGCCAGGATGGCACTCTGACAGGAAATGTTTTGTGTGTCGCCTCCACGGATAATGTGCTGAAGTCATTATTTACTGACCCCGACTCAGACAGGGTGGAGTGTGTGTTTCCCCTCTCAATCAAACACTAAACTGTTGTAATAACTACTATGTCAAGTTAAAGTGTTTTTAACTTGGGGTCGCAACCCCGGTGAGGTGTCACCTGGAATTCAGGTGGGGGTCGTCTGAAATGCTAGTAATTGATTTATAAAAAAAAATTACAAATAAAAATATTTTTTCCACTAATTATTTTTCTTTTTAGAATTACGATTTTAAAAAAAACAGACTTTGTGTACTAATCAGGGCAGTCAGTATTCACAACACAGTCATGATCGAAAACTAATGCTAGAAAGAGAAAAAAAAAGGTCACAGGGGTCGCCAGACTTTTGGGATGTCAAGATGGACCACTGTGTTAAATCCATTTATTTGTAAAGCCAATATTTACAAATGGAAGAATGAATGATAAACCTTAATGTTGTGAAGGAATCAAACCAGCAGTTAAGACTTGTGAGAAGCAGATTTATTTACGTGGGGCAAACACTTGACACAAACACGAAAATCTCTGCAGGACAAAATGCAAAGATTTTTTATCTCTGCACTTAGGCCTGCATAAGAAATACCTTCATCCATTTCCTTTTTACTGTCTATGGTAAAGGCACATGTAGTTAGAATACCTAAAGCTCACAGGGATTATGTAGGGACTGTTTTAATTTTGGTAGATAACCAGATATAACTGGTTCACAGGCCACGTTGCACATGTGTTTGGTGAGTTGTGTACTGTAGAGTCTCCAAGGGCTGCTGTGAATTAGCTCTGTTTCAATCAGCTACCATCAGTTGAGTTCCTTCTTCCTGTTTGGTCTCTCGTAGGTCTGTTTCTGATCCTGGGCCTGATGTTGTACCCCGCTGGTTGGGGTTCAGACAAGGTCCAGTTGTATTGTGGTCCGGACGCCGCCCCGTACCGAGCCGGGCTGTGCTCCATGGGCTGGGCCTTTTACACGGCCATGGGGGGCACCGTCCTCACCTTCGTCTGTGCCGTCTTCTCTGCACAGGCTGAGATCGCCACGTCCAGCGACAAGGTCCAGGAGGAGATCGAAGAGGGAAAAAGTCTGATCTGCCTCCTCTGAGGCCAAAGATGCTTAACTCCTGTGGGTAAAAGTGAAGAAAAGAGTGAAACCAGAGGAGAGAGCCTGAAAACCAACAACAGCGGCTCCTCTGCTGTTGGTCATGAGTCCGTGTTGTGAAACGATGCCCTGCTTTGTTTACCACTAAAACTGACTCTCGTCTTCATTTTGTGTTCTGTTGTGGGTAAAAAACTTAAAAAGTGCCATTTTCTTTTTTTTTTTTTAATTCCTTAAAGTGGAATTTTGTCTTTCTGCCACTAGAGGTGCAGTGTATGTAATTGTGTAGCCACGTGGTCGGGCTCTGATTGCCGCCATGCACTCTGTAAATAAGTGTGATTATATATATTTTGTACATAGTTATGATCACAGAATGATGGTCGGCTCCATCTGAGCTGGGCTGATGAGTCACTCCTGCCGTTAAAAAAAACAAACACCACAGTCAACTATTGTTGTCTCCAGTCTGTTTGTCACATTTGAGAGAACCACTACAGTCAGAATAAACTACTCAGAGAACAAACGGCCGTCAGCTCAGCCTCAGAGCTCACAGAATGTAAATTGATGAAATGTATCAGTGACTCACAGACTGCACAAGGACAATTCTGTTCGTCCTCTTTTATTTTTTGAAAAAAACATTTTTTTTTCGAGAATGCATCATGAACAAATAATGAAGTCATGAAGACTGATTGGAGTTTCAGCTGAGAGAATTGACCCGCTCCTCCTTCAGTAGACCTCCTGCAGTCCGTGCACAGAGACATGAACTGAACAGTATTGATGTCATTGGTGACGGCTGCCTTTCAGGGAGCCTGTTGAGTCATAGATAGTGTATCAGCCTTAAGTGTTCTCCTTTGTGTTCTGCCGAATGAATAAAGAGGATTTTAGGAGGAAAAAAAGAAAGCCTTGTTTTGTTTCAGTTATTTTTTTTTAAAGTGGACAGTTCCACTGAGAGGAGGCTACGAGGAGGGAGAAGATGCAGCAAGTGAAGCGTCCAGTCTGGTACTCATTTTGGCCTCCGGTGGGGGTCTGTGTGTTTTCCATCCAGCGAGTGATCAGTTTTTCCACAGATGCAGTGCTGAACTCCCCTTGTGTGTCCCTCTGTGTGCACCGTCCTCAGAATCACTGGTGGAGAGTCCATTAGGAATGAGGTAAGTTTGACTGGAGTGCATTTTAACTTCAGGAACCAGATCCCTTGAGTGTACCAGGAACCATTATTTGCCACTGTATCAATCAGCAGCTTAATTAAAGCAGACTTTTCTTTAGCCCCACTGCAGAGGTTAGACCTAGAACTTTCTGTAGAAAGTAGCGTTATAATTTGTCCTGGCAGTAAAGGCTCCAGATACTGCGAAGAGGAGACATGGGGAAACTACGGCCCATGGGCCAGGTATGGCCCGCTGGGCTTTTAGCCTGGCCCACCAAACACTAGTGAACTGTAATATCAGTTGATGCCACTAGATGGCTGCAGACATCAAATATGAGAATTTTTCTTTGACTGTTTTGTAGATTTGATTAACATTACCAAATTAAACTAGATTCCACCAATACTGAATGGGCCCTGCAGAGTAAATTTTGAACCTCATTTTGGCCTGGGAGCTAATCAAGTGTTAATTTTTGTCATTTTTTAAAAGAACATTCTTCTCCGTGTCTCTTCTTTATATCTGCATGGGTTTGTATCTGTCCCTTTGTGGACGATTTGTTTTTTGTCACAGTATGGGTCATGGAATGGTGTGAGTTGTATTGCAGTATGAATGGTACTCATGACTTTGTGTTGCCTTTATGTGCATGTTTTTGTGCTGACTCATCACTCTGTTTCTGCCTCTAGACGTTTGTTTGTAGCTGCCGTTGCTATGCTGATGACGTCCTCCTGTTTGTAAGTATTAGCTCATACTTCTTGTCCCACTTTACCTGTTTTTTGTCTTATCGTAATCTTTTCCAGTGTTTCTGTGGCCTCTGGGAGTAGGTTTGTGTGTTGTTCAAATTCATTTTTGTCAGCTTGACAGTTGCTAATGTGCTCTCTTGGTTGTCCTAGCTTTGATATTTCCAGGTGAAGCCCCAGAGACCTCAGATGGATGATCTGAGTTTTCTTTTTCCACCATCTATGGCTGAAATCAACTGCACCATTTACTGCTCCACATTATTCATTTATCCAGCTGTGCTAACATCACTTTACATCTGGATTCACATGCAGAAAGTATACAACCAAGACAGAAAATAAGAATGGACTAAATGTGTCTGACCTTTGTGTTGATCTACAAAAAAAATCACCCTTTAAGCAGAACCTTATTCACCTTATGGATTACAGTAAAGGATAAGAGAGACCTCAAACAGCGGGGAGTGGTTTGTGCTCTTGCCTTACAGCAGTGGTTCTTAATTATTTTCTGTCCCCCCCCCCCCCCTTGGGGACAAAAATATTTTCACGCCTCCCTATACCCCCACCCCGAGCCCTGGAATTTAAATACTATTGAGAACCTAATATCGTGGATATTTTTTCTGTGTACAAAATACTGTATGAGTTACTGCCACCTAGTGACTGGAGGCATGTTATCATTCATGCATTACAACAGTGGTACACCTATATCCATATGTGTGCCATATTCCATCTGAAGCCTCTCACACCCCCACCCCCCGGCACCTCACTGTGCCCCCCGAGGGGGGCCCACCCCACTATTAGAGAGGTACTGCCTTACAGCAAGAAGATCACCAGTTCGATCACTGGTGGTGGTCCTCCATACTGTATGTTTTCTCCAGTACTTCAGTATACTTTAACAAATCTAGTCTTAATTAACCATAGGTGTGACTTTAAGTGTGAATGGTTTATATGAGACCCTGCGATGGACCATTGAACATAATGCCTGCTAGGATGGGCTCCAGTCCCCCACCCTGCTGTAAACCTGAAAATGATTAGGTGGTAGAAAATGGAAAAAATTGATTCACCTTTTAGCACGTGCTCATATTTTTAAATTCATGAGCTACATTAGGGAGCATTTGACCTTTCTCCCACAGACTGCCAATGGCCTGTATGTGGGTATGCTGTATGTGTGTGTGTTCTAACACCCTTCCCCAGATGTTCCTCCCCCATGTGGGCTGAACTAACAGAACAGCCTCTGGCACCCCCCTGTGGCTGCTCTGCTGCACTGCTGCCCTGAGAACTAAACAGCCTGGCTTTGATGGTTTCCAGATTAGGCACCCAACGAGTGCTGCAGTCTGGAGTCTGGGACTGTTTCTCCGCCAGGGGCTCTTAGTTTCTGCCTCTCACGGGTTTTTTTCACAGGAAGTGTCAGAGGT